AACTGCGCAATATGCCTTCCCGGATAATAAATACAAAATATATTTTTTTAGATATAGTACATGGCATTAATACGGAAAAATATTGTCACTTGATCAGGAAATATGTTTTATTATCACTAGAAAAACTCGTTTGTTTAGCAAGAATGGGTTTTGTATGCTAATTATATTGGTAAGGTCTGATGTAACTAGAATCGTTGTGTCACTGCCGTTGTTAGGAGACGGATGGCAGTATGGGTGTGATGGCTTTTTTTTAGTAGTATTTTCTTGTCAGTATTGATAATGCAGTCCTTATTACCTCCAACGGCAGTTCGTAGGCGTTTCGCTTATCTATATATTAATACGTGAAGCAAAAACGTTGTATCCCTTTTTACGAAAATTGCGCGGACGGAGGAGTATGAAATGCACACTTATAGAGAATATAGAGAAGAAGTGCACAATGCTATTTTTTTTTTTTAAATAATTCCTAAAATATACATTAAATCAATAAAGAAAACATTACACACACTACATACCCTGTATTTGACGCACACACGCATGCATACTATTTATTGTCAAACTTTTGTTCTTGACGTCTGTGGTCAAATTGAGAATAGATTAAATATTGTTTGTCTTTATTATTATTTTTCTATAATGTAGTCTTGACGAAATTTGTAATTATAGAAGTATAATATCTTTGAAAATAGAATCATATTAGTGTCCGAACTTATAATTTCAATCAATTACACTTCACTTACAATTTCAATAAAAGCAAGATCTCTTAAGGTAAACTTTAAGAGATTTTGCTTGAAATTGAAACAATAATTAGACGAATCTTTGTTTGTTTTTTGTTTCTTTACTAAAACCATCCATAGAGTGTAAATGAAAATATTTATACAGTAACTGGACTTTGAAAGGTTCACCTTCTCATTCGCCTTTACCCAATGTCATTATGAAAAAAACACTGTCAACATATCATCGAATTAAAGCTAAGTTAACGAACAAATACTAATTGTAATGCGTAGTAGTACCAACAAAAATTTACATTAATCAGGTATGATATACAATTGAAAATTTCAGCTGTACTTGTCATGAAATGGAATGAAATAGAATGTAAATCACCTGAATTAAATAAATACTCTTTATAATAATAATAAATTCATTTAATCGTATTCAATAATTAATTATATAATATTTTCATTTAAATTCCATGCCATACTAAGACATAAAAGGGGTTTTGTTCCTGCTAACTGAAATTTTCAAGATTTGCTAAAACGCTCCAGCCCTCTATTTTGATATTTTAGATTTTGGTTTCAATCATATAATAAGAAATCTGAAAAGAAAAGAATAAAACGCATCAATGTTAAAAAGTCCATTTAGAATTTAGCAAATTCCGGGGATTTCCCTATAAGATGCACAACCATATGAAAATTTAGCACACGAAATTACCACTAAACTTGGGAGTAGTGACATTTATGTGCTACCGGGTTAGAAATGTCATGTTTCGCAGTTGACATTAAACAAAAGCTCGATAGAGCGCTGGAAATATCAGCTAATGTCTGCCAAATAAATGACGTCACTTGTCTATTGTCAAGTTCAAGTCCGGTGGACACATTTTATCGTCTGGTTGAACGTAATTAAATGACGTGTGTACGTTAATATCGTATTGTACTCGACGATAAGTGAAGACCCGATTAAATTGATAAAATTAATTCGATCCAACGACCGTGACCACGAAAAAGCGTTAGAAATATCGGACATTACAAAATTACAAGATACATAAACTCCAAATTCGTATCGTATAATTTCGGATATACATAAATATATAAATATTGTATGAGTGCTTTGACTACATGTTACAAAAATATATTTGTGACTCAAAGACACATCCTTTGTTTTTTTTCTCCTACCTATGCTGCTAGCCTTGAGAGGCCATTTCAGCTTCGCCCTAACATGTAGCTCACGGGGCTCAAACCTGACGACGTTGCTAACACGAACCCTAGCAAGACCGTGCTTCGCAGAATCTGCCACCGGATCAGAAACGCGACCCCCTGAGGAGATCCGGCGAGAAACTCAGTGGGCTGTGCATGTGTGTGTGGGTTAATTTACTCGTCGAGCCCTTCGTCGCAAGCGACGGGTTCGACAAAAACGATGACCGGTGCTTGAGGTACCTAAAAACACCCATCCTTTGGCTCAGAGCTCTAACCTGATAAATTACTGGCGTTATTTCTGTTTTGTTTAGTAAATAAATACGTAGGTAGCCATGAAAAATGCTACCTAACTGTACACGGTAGTTACAATAACGTGATAGATAATGTTTATTAATAAAATAATTCGTTGATTAAAACTCTGATCAAGAAATGCGAATGTGCCTTAGTCAGGAATGCAGTTTTAAATAAGCATAGTACGATAGCTTACGGCTTGTTATCGTCGCCAGACGTGACACTGTAGAAGTGATACTGCCGTTCGTCTTGAAACTGGACGGCTGTCATTGTAACTTGAAATGTTTCGTGTCTTAAAGAGCCATCTACGTTATGGTGAAATGTCACATGTCTTAAGGAGCTATCTACGCTATGATGAAATGTCACATGTCTTAAGGAGCTATCTACGTTATGCTCTCCAAGAGCAACTACCATGGAGCGTGTTGAGCGATGCACCGATGTTCGAATCTTAGGCGGGTACCAATTTTTATAATGAAATACGTACTCAACCAATGTTCACGATTGATTTCCACGGTGAAGGAATAACATCGTGTTATAAAAATGAAACCCGCAAAATTATAATTTGCGTAATTACTGGTGGTAGGACCTCTTGTGAGTCCGCGCGAGTGGGTACCACCGCCCTGCCTATTTCTGCCGTGAAGCAGTAATGCGTTTCGGTGTGATGGGTGGGGCGCCGTTGTAACTATACTTGAGACCTTAGAACTGATATCTTACTTAACACCAGGTGGGCGTGAGCACGTCCACCCATCTAAGCAATACAAAAAAAAAATGGGGTCAGAGTGTCAGACAACAGCAACAAATCTTTAAATGTTTTCAAAATAAATATGTATTTAATAGATAACATTGTTTAAATTGATCCCAAGATGTCGTGTCAAAGTTATAAATCTATTAAAGTTATAATAATAATTATAGTATGTGTTAATGAATCATTAATATTACATAAACAAATAATTAGTTTACCGATAAAATAATACTAACACTCGTTATCGAAAAAGATCGAGTTCGAAGAACTTAAATAGATTTTTATTTGTTTACGTCTGTATTTTCTTTTCGTAAAATATAGATGATTTTTATTACAATGTCCAAAACGCTTTTTGTAGCGGTTTAATTTATTGTTTTATTTTTAATTGGCAAATAAGTGCGGTCGTATTCATAGATAAAGTGGAAGTCTTCGTTCATGTGGGTAGATAATGGGGATAATCGAAGCACAGGGAACAAACTATCAATTAGTTTGAAGTCGTAACTTATGTTTGCTTCTCCGTAATAAACTCTAGTTTAAGCTAAGGCTTTAACTTAAGCAATATTCCGCAATGTGGGAATTAGGGATAGAGTTAGGTGACACATAGGTACTCGTCCGAGACAGGTAGACTATTATAATGTCCTAATGACTAGACTATTATAATAATGTATAGATGTCCTATTAAGTTTACGAATGACTTCCATGGTGAAGGCAACTTTCTTTGGATTCGCCTTATCCGTTATAGAGGGTTGATGTTCCCATTCATATGCGTCTTTCTTCGTAACACCTATCTCCTTTTTTTTTTTGGATATTCTTCATCAACTCTACAACTACATTACTCCATGAAAAACCAATTTTCACGAAAGATAATATGAAACTGCCGGTGAATTCGTATCTAGTTTTCGGACTATGCCGCTGTTTGAATCCCGCAGGCAAACACACCAATATTTCCATTGAAATAGGTATCTGAGACTTGTTCACGAACGATCCCTATTTCTGCCACGGAGCAGTAATGCGTTCTAGCTTGAAGAGTGTGGCCGCTATTGTACAGTAGAACTGAGACTTAAAACTCAAGCATCATGATTGGTCACGGCATTTAGGTTGTTCATGTCTGTGGGCTTCGTTGTATCACCAGGTAGGCCGTGAGTGAACATGCTCACCCACCCGTCTGAGCAATAAAAAAGAACATTCATCAAAGAATGACAAGGTTGGTAATTATTGAAAAAAAATAGTAGCTGTCATGTTTCAACTCTATTAGGTATTGAAAAAAAAAATCAATAGCCCATTGTTTTCATCGTCTGTGCATAATTTTAAACTTATCATCTTATTTAAAATTTTCACGCAATATTTGTAATTGCTTATTTATTATATACTATATATTTTACTGGTGGTTGGGTATCTTTGTGAGTCCGCACGGGTAGATACCACCTATTTGCCTATTTCAGCCGTGAAGCGGTAATGCGTTTCGGTTTGAAGGGTAGGGCAGCCGTTGTAACTATACTGAGACCTTAGAACTCATATCTCAAGGTGGGTGGCGGCATTTACGTTGTAGATGTCTGGACTCCGGTAACCACTTAACACTGGGTGAGCTCGTCCACCCATCTACGCAATAAAAAAAATAAAAAAATTGCTACTCAATATTTTTTATTTATTGCTTAGATGGATAGACTAGCTCACAGCCCACCTAGTGTTAAGTGGTTACTGGAGCCCATAGTCATCTACAACGTAAGTGCGCCATCCATCTTGAGATATAAGTTCTAAGGTCTCAGTATAGTTACAGCGGCTGCCCCACCCTTCAAATCGAAACGCATTACTGCTTCACGGCAGAAATAGGCAGGGTGGTGGTACCTACCCGTGCGGACTCACAAGAGGTCCTACCACCGGTAAAATATGTGCTCATGTGAAACAAGTGATGTTTGGTCGTTCACGTTATATCACACTTTATAAAAATACTCTTGTTTTGTCAATAGAAGCGTAGAAATACAGTAATCAACTAATTACGGTTGTGGCACATCTATTAGACGCGTGTATTTTACAAATATGGATGTTTTGATGTTTTACAGATTTGAATTGCGGCGCACGTTGATAGTATGGAACTCCCTTCTGGCCGCTTTCAGCATCATGGGCGCCTGCCGCACGCTTCCAGAGTTCATCCACGTGCTTCGGAACCATGGAATTTACCATTCTGTCTGCGTGCCAAGGTCAGTTTTTATTTGATACACGTCAATTGTATGAAAATATGTAACAAGTAAAATAAAATCGTCTATATAAAATATTTATATATAAAAATGAATTGTTGTTCGTTAGTCTCGCTAAAACTCGAGAACGGCTGGACCGATTTGGCTAATTTTGGTCTTGAATTATTTGTGGAAGTCCAGAGAAGGCTTAAAAGGTAGACAAATATGAAAGTGCTCGGAATTAAATAAAAATAACAATTTTGTTTTTCCTTTGATGTGTCCCCTGTCGGACGCATTCCTTTTGTTTGTTTTAAGTTTATTTTATACAAAAGTTTAGGTCTTTTATTTATCGATTGAGGCACTAAGGAGACTGCCGGGTCAGCTAGTATGTAATAAGTAAATCTATGAAGCTGCGTTGTATTGTTTATTGTCTATTTCAAGGTCGTCTGCCTTGACACCACCAGTTTTAACTGCCTCCTTATTAAAAATAATTATTTGCGATTTCAAATGTATTATAATTTTAAGTTAATGAACCGCTTTTTTTTTATCTTCATGGACTGGTAATGGTACTTAAGCCAGATCTTATATTTTCCTCTTGTATCCTGTTATAATACGAAATAAAATGCGATGGAGTTGTTTAATTTGTCACTTTAATCAATTGGGATGAAATTAACTCTAACGTGATGAGATGCGGTGAAATAAAGTATCAGATAAATTGTGGTTTATTTAGTGAGATTTTCAGCGGACTTTTTGTAAGAACTCTAGAAGGTACGTCCAGTGGCTTTGTTTCATTTTCCCATATTTGTGCACTTTCACTGATGCTAAACAGTTAATATACCATAATTATCTGTACCCGTCCGCTTCGCTGGGCATTTAAAATTAACATTATTATTTCTCACCCCCACAAAGATTCTCATCATTAACGCCCCCGCAACTGGTGTAGGGAGTCAAACTCCAACTCATAAAAATATTAGCCTGTCCATTAAGCACATGTATTTTCTACATGGATACCAAGTTCCAAGTCAATTAGATGAATGCTTCAGTAGTTATAACTGAACATCCGTAAAAACCGCTGTAGATTTATATATTAGTATAGATTATTACATATTTAAACTTGAAGAACATCTACATTAGCAAAATAAAATAATTCACTCAATTTAGCTCATCGTGTTTCAGCCAAAAGTTCCCGTAACATTGCAATCACGTTGCCTAGAGTTATAGAAAACTGCAATTAATGAAAATTCACTTTTGTTGTAAATAAAGTTAATATTTCGTAAAATTATAATCTGAAGGATAAATATTGTTTCTATTCTGACTTTTTGCTTTAATTTGACTCGCGCTACTTTAAATATTACATAACACGTAAAAGCGATATGCGCAGTTTTTTAATAATCTTTACGGATTAAAACAAATTTGAGACATTTTTAACAGTATATGTCTAGATGTCCTTCTAGAACGTGCGAAGGCCCTTAATGGTACTAAATGTTTATACTTATATAATTTGGTTTTATTATTATTATGTATTCTCGTACCTTAAAAAGATTACGAGCATTTTCTGTAAACTTTAACAAAAATCGCTCGAGTAAATATATTAAAATACGGAAATTATATCGCGATAAGTCATCGCGGTTATCCGTCGTCATGATAAGATAGCGTGGAAATGTCTGAATTTCAGTTTATTCAAGATGTTTATTTTAATATTAAATAAAATGGATCGTCTGTAACTGTTGAATTATTAATCGTATTCAAATAGAACTTCATTTGTTGTGGTTTAGCTGTTCAATTATTTGAAACTGCTGTACAATTGGCGAGCATTATTTATATTATTAATTTATGTATTTATGTTTATGTAACTATACTAGAGACCTTACAACTTATATCTCAAAGTGGGTGGCGCATTTACGTTGTAGATGTCTATGGGCTCCAGTAACCACTTAACATCAGGAGGGCTGTGAGCTCGTCCACTCATCTAAGCAATAAAAAAAATAAAACCAGTTTTACATGTTACGCGCTGTGTCTTTTGAATCATCATACTACCTATCGTCCCTCAGCTTGGAACTCAACAAAAGCATTAAATAAAAATATCTCAGCGGTACCCACACTGCATGTTTTTTTTTCAATTTTTGGCATTGGTTATACATTTTTAAAAAAATTGAGTTCAAATTGACACCTTCAATTTGATAAACGAAAATGTCCCGTGCCCTCACGTGGGTCAGTAATGAATACCGCGCGTTAATGTCAGACAATAGGGCTGTCCGAGATTTCTAAAGCAAATATTTTACATTTCATATGTAACTTGTTAAGGATATGGCACCATCATACCGTGTGATCTGACGTTCTTCGTAATCGCGAGAGTCGAAGACAAAAATAAAATTTAATTAACAGAATAAATAGTCAATTAGCACAAATCTCGACGAATAACATCTTAGTCGGCCGTGATCACGAAAATGATTTGAAACGTTGGAAATAAAAAATGGGAGATAAAATCGAATTGTGAAACTAATAGTATATTTGAGAGCAAATTTGACTTATACATACATGTGGCTCTTGCGCTTTCGGTATCAACACATTCCCGATCCTGCGGACAGAATGGAAAGCAGTCGACGTTGCCCAAAACACGTCATTTCGGATCCTCTCGATCCACCAACTGTGCTTTTAGGTACCTCAAGCACCGGTCATCGTTCTCGTCGAACCCGTCGCTTGCAACAAAGAACTCGACGAGTAAATTAATCCACAGATACAGCCCACTGAGTTTCTCGCCGAATCTTCTCAGTGGGTCGCGTTTCCGATCCGGTGGTAGATTCTGCGAAGCACGGCTCTTGCTAGGGTTCGTGTTAGCAACGTTGTCAGGTTTGAGCCTCATGAGCTCACCTACTAGTTAAGGTTACGCTGAAATAGCCTCTCAAGGCTATCAGCATAGGTAGGAAAACAAAAAAATCAGTATAACAGCCGTTATTGATAACCATTTAATAACTTGTGGGACGTGAACTCGTTCAACCGTCGATTCAAATACAAATGAATATGAAATCTCGCAGTAAAATAGGATAGTGATGACCCTATCCGAATCATTATTCAGAGCATGTCAAGCGCTCGTGCCCTGCTAGTGTAGTAAGTAACGCGCCGTGGTGCCGAGGCGAAAGTTCACGTGCTTACGTTTCAAAATGTCATGTAACAAACAATATAAAGGTGATAAGATTTAAATCTTCACCGACTTAAAAAAAAGAGGAGGTTATCAATTTTTATTTTTGATGTGTGTTACTGCAGAGCTTTCTATTTGAAAGCCGGTGCTTCTCATGTGTGGCCAAATTTGAAATTTTATTTAAATCTGACCGATAGCTTTTGGGAGTTATTGTTAATAATGCATATTTAATTGACTTAAACTACATTAATGATAGTATTCTCGTTTTGTTGTATTGAATTTTGTTTTCTTTTTGTTACCTACATCTTTTGTCTTATGACGTACACAGATAGGTCTTATGATTTTCACGTGCGTATTTAAAATTTCAATAGAGTTGATATAGTTCAATAGTTGGTACGCTCACTGATATTAAGTACAGTAGATAGTAAGTACTCTGGGCATCGATATCCATTTAAAACCTATGCTATTGTGAGGATAAGACAGGTTGAAACATGAGGTCCCACCATGAACCATGAGGTACAGTGGGTCTCTCGTCCTTTGAATCGGAGCATATAACTTCTTCGCTGCAGGAATAAAATATTATATCTACCCATCCATTATGCGGGATCATTACGACCATTACTATACGCGATACGGTTTTTTTTTTTTTTTTTTTTTATTGACATTATGGGTGGACGAGCTCAGCTCAGCTGGTGTTAAGTGGTTACTGGAGCCTATAGACATGTACAATGTAAATGCGCCACTCACCTTGAGATATAAGTTCTAAGGTCTCAGTATAGTTACAACAGCTGCCCCACCCTTCAAACCGAAATGCATTATTGCTTCACGGCAGAAATAGGCGGTGTGGAGGTACCTACCCGTGCGAACTCACAAAAGGTCCTACCACCAGTATCTACGATTTTTATTTAAATTTTGCACGACATTCCTTCGTGGAGCTTGTGGAGGTCGTTATTGACCATGTGTCAAGTACGTAATCCGTTGGAAAAATTGGTACCTGCAATTTGGACACCGGCACAGTCGCATTTCTCGATACGGCCAAGAAATATCCATACAAGACTTCGGAAGTCCTGGCAATTTCGTTAAGAACACGAGTATGTCTCACATCTAGCAAGTTTGACCACGGTTGGCCCTGTCACTAATGACTATACGATAAATGCTAGATACGTATATGCCCAAAACACGTCATTACGGATCCTCCCGATCCATTAATGGTGCTTTTAGGTATCTCAAACACCGGTCACCGTCCTCGTCAAACCCGTCGCTTGTGACGAAGGGCTCGACGAGCGAATTAACCCATAGAGACACAGCCCACTGAGTTTCTCGCCGGATCTTCTCAGTTGGTCGCGCTTCCGATCCGGTGGTAGATTCTGCGAAGCACTGCTCTCGCTAGGGCCAGTGTTAGCATCACTCCGGTTTGAGCCCCGTGATGTCACCTATTAGTTAAGGTTACGCTGAAATAGCCTCTCAAGGCTATTACCTTGGATAGGAAACAAAAAAAAGCTAGGTATGAAGTATAGGCATGCAACGGCTTGGCTGTGTCGCTTGTTGATGTCCATGAGCCACCGTGTCAACTTACCAACAGGTGTAAACTCGTAAATTGCCGACAATTGTAATGATAAAAAAAAGGATTCTGAAGCTGAAAACAAATAACCATATCATTTTAAAATACGAGAAGCCTTCAAAACTGTCTTGTTTAGTAAGAATAAAAAATATCTACGAGTAATCTCGTCCGGATATGGTTGTTACGATAATGACAGATAAATTACAATAACTTTGCTGAACAATATAAGTATCTATCTATTAGGTACAACAACAATATATATTAGGTACAGTATAATCATACAACTCAAGTTCACCGCTGTATTATTAGTATGACAGTTTTGTG